GTTTTCTACTATTGACTTCCATCAATGTTGGTTCTTGACTTCCTTTCACATAATCTGCCAGTGCGTGTTTCTCTTGTTCTATCATTTGTTTTACTTGCAGAAGCCCTCTGCCTCCTGATTTTCTGGGCAGGTAGTCTATCAACATCAGTACATGGGTGTAATGAGTAATTAGTTTTCTTGTTTTTCTGTCCGTATCATCCAGCTCTGCTTGCATCCTGTTCACAATTCCAGCAGTGTATCTGATGATGGTGATGATATTATTATTGTTGTTGTTGTTGTTGTTGTTATTATTATTATTATTGTGATTTTCTCCACATTCCTTGAAGAAAATGTAGAACATGGAAGGGAATGATGATTATCAGTGAGATCTGCAACAAAATGTCTTGTAAGGAGTTTTTCTAGCCATGATTTGAATCAGCCATTCCTTCCAAGTTAGACAATTGTCTCAGGATGATCGGAATATAATCTTCACTTACAGAAAACCCCAAATTTGTTTCTTACATTCTTCCATTAAAAGGTCTGGGAAAGTGAGAATTTAGGAGAGCTACTGATAGCTTTACCAGTCCTCAGTGCAAGCGTTTCCAAGACTGCTCCTTGTTCTGGGCAGTCAACACAGAAGTCTTAGTACATATATGAAAAAATCATGAACTTTGATTTCTCTGATTTGGGAGAAAGGTCAAAGAAAACAGAGTTGAGGAAAGTTCTTTTTCTAAATTATAGCTCTTCACATGATTATTCCCAGTTGAGGTATTCCAGGAATTGTGGTTCAAACCAAGCTTTCTCAGGCTTTAGGAGAAAGCTATACTGCAACATCACTTAAGGCAAGCATATAAAAACAAATGTGATGCTCCAGAAAGTTGGAAAGGGGTTCTTACGGCAAGTTCCCAGATATGCTGCGCTCAAAGAGGGTCTTCAGGAACTGGAAACGAAGCTGACAGGCTTCTTGAACATCTCGCTGGAGAGAAAACAGAAAACAAAACTCTGCTTAAGATATGCTTCTCAGATGTCCCTTATGTCAACACAGGGATGAAGAACATGTGACTGGTAATAGCACTCTTGGAATGCAATTCCAAATGTAACAAATTTGTGAGAAATCATGGTAGATTACAGTCCAACACCATACGGATGACCTTATCTGCTTTAACCTTTTCCATATTAATGAGAGCATGTTCACATTGTGCAAATTCATGGCATGCTACTAAGAATTCTGGGCATATTTCAACCACACACTATATTCATATGCAAAATCAGCCACCCATTGCATTGTATTAGACTGGATAGGTACCCAATAATCTCTGGCAGCTGACTATGGTAGCGGTAGATAAACTGTGGGAAACCAGAGCATGACCTCTTCATACTTCATTCTGTTTGGACACCTTGGGCTAGCTGAATTCCCATCCCCAGAAAACATTTCTTTAAAAACCCACAGCTACATACAAAATTGAATTCTCCAATAGAGTTCTGCTATCATCTGAGTGTGATCTGTATTGTGATTCGCTCTGGATCCTTTTAGTGTAGAAGGACAGGCTGCAAGTACATGCCGTAACTACTAGTTGTAAATATTTTGGGGTTATGAGATTATGGGAGTTCTATTCGAGCAATAGTTGGAGGGCCACAACCCTTGGACTGTGATCAGGGAAGATGATAGTTTTAGTCCATGTCAAACTCTGAAACACACTAGTTTGTCCTACTTTGGAGGGTTGTTATGACAAGAAAATGAGGAGGAAAATAATGTGCACCATCTTGAACCCAATGAAGAAAATGCAGCAAATGAATATACTTAATGTATTTTGGCTGTGAGTAACCAAGAAGATCTCACCAGAACCTCTGGCTCCAAACCAGGGAATCCAGACTTTGAAGTCTTTCCCAAGACCACTGCTGTCTGGGCCTTCCTGCCAAGAAAAACATATTAATGCTTAATTAGAAATGAAAGGTCAGATTCCTGATTTCTAGAGCAGTATATTCAATGAATATCCCCAAACAGAGTCAGAGACTAAGGGGATGGTTTGCTCCAGAGCTACAATCACTTCCTTCATCAAATGAAATGGCTCAGTAAGTGAAGCCATTCCTGATCCTCTTTTTCATCAAATACATATTTATCCCACCCAGAGTTTCTCCTGATTCCTGCCCACAAGGAAGAAAAGCCTGGGCCTGTACCTTTTCATTGCCTCTAGTTGCTCCAAATGTCCCTTCATTTGCATTACTTTTTCATGCAACAGCTGATGCTCAGCCATGACCTGGGTCGAGTAGGCCTTCAGAAGCAAGGTGCGGCGCTTGGCATCACGGATCTTCTCCTGTGATGTCTCCATTGTGACCTCTGAGAGAGCAAAGGAGAAAGAAAAAAGAGTGCATTACAATTCAGGCAGTTTTAGAACCTCCACAAAAAGTGCTTGACTTGTTAGTACGCTTTTGCTTTGCCCTCCCCTTTTCCAATAGCAAGGATCTAGGTCAGTATTTCCCAAGCTCTTTCATGCGTTTTGGACTTCAGCTCTCAGAATTCCTGGTTATTGGCCAAGGCAGGCAAGACTTCTGAAATAGATAGAGGACTAGAGTTTGCGAATCACTGATCTAAGCCATTATGGGCCTTTCCACACAGTCACATAACCTAGAATATCAAGGCAGAATAATCCACTATAACTGCTTTTTTTAAAGTATTTTTATTGTGCATTTTAGTAATTTTTACAGTGAAAGTGAAGAAAAAACATGTGAAGAAAAACATGTCTTTTAATCAAAGACAGAAAGGTGAGATGAAATGGATAAAAAGACAAAAAAAAGGAGAGAGAAAAAGAAGAAAAAGGAAGGTTCCCAAAGATAAAACTTGACTTCCCAATGCCCTCTGAGTAATCATCTTCTCAATATAGGAATTATCAGTTTTCAATCAGAATATATATTTTTCACATGTCAGATATTTCTATCATGATGGTCATCTCTTCCAAATAAAATCTATGAAATCGGACCAATCAGTTTTCTTTCAGGTTTCTTTCAATCTTTAAAGTTGTCCATTTGGATTATGTCAAATACTTTAAGTATCCATTCTTCTGTGCTTGGTATTCTCTTCTGCTTCCATACAATAACTGCTTTGAACTGGGTTATCTGAGTCCACACTGCCATATAACCCAGTTCAAAGTAGATAATGTGGGATTTTATACAGCTGTGTGGAAAGGATCTATGAGTGTTTACAGAATAAACTGATTAAGAAGGCAAGGCAATGCCTACTCAATTTTCTGAAGTGATCAAAATTTCTTTATAACTTTCTAAAGGCTCGAGCTGGTGTACTCAGGCCCTGTAGAGATAGAGTGACATAAGCATGTCTCTGTAATCCAATACCATGGCAAGAACACTTTAAACAAAGTACAATACCACAAACAACTGGAGTTGTTGGTCTATAAAGATCTCGATTCAACAGATATTTATATAATGTGCAGCCTGCGTTGGCAGCAAAAAACTGCAGTCAAAGTCAAGATCAGATGACAAAAAAGCCGACTTGAAGAATACTCTTTCTTTCTTTCTTTCTTTCTAACACATCCTATATCCAAGGAGCTCAGGTCAGTTTTCAACAAATCAATTCAAACACTTTAAAACAATGTGGAATAGTAAGAATGATTTTTAAAAATCTAGAAGCATATAAAAAAATAAAGCAAGATGGTTTAAAAAACAATTATGGTAGGATTATTAAAAGTGTATATATAAATATATCTGGAAGGTATCAACAAGGCCCTGAAGACCTAAAAGCGATGTTTTCACTTGGCTATTGGATGGCATCACTGCTGGCACCAAACAGCCTTCTTTAAACATTATTAAAGAAGTGCTTGCTGTTTAAAAAAAGTAATTTAAAAATTGGAAAAAAGAAACACCAAGAAATTATCAATAATATCTTTCATGCAGATGGCACTATTACTTGCTGGCAATTTAGACTGATTGCAGAGTTTATTCCAGAAAGCCACTCACCATCAGCCACAAGCTCCCGCTGTGTTGATTCGATCTGCAGGTCAATGTTCTGCAGCTCCTCACGCAGGCGTGCAATGCCCTGAACCAACTGCTTGCGGCGCTCTTTCTCAGACTGCAAGCCATTAAACTTGCCCTAGAGAAATAAATAGTTAAGACAGAACTCCATCTGACGATCGTTCACAATGAACTAGTTGTTCATGCCGAAGACTCCATATTGCGTGTGCAGAGCACAATGCTCCACATATGGACAGTTTTACTCCTCCCTTCAGATCCATGAAGCCCCATGGAGCAATTCAATGGCCATTAAATAGGGAAAGAGGGAAATGACGGAGCAGTAGAAACTGCCTCCTGTTTCCACTGCTGTTTGTTAGAAACAGAAGAGGAAAAATGACATGGAGAAATGCAGCTAGGAAAGGGGGCAGTTCCCATTGCTTGGTATCCTCCCTTCTTCTCTTGGCTATTTAACTGCCATAGCAACACCTTAAGGGGCTTGGAAACTGCTGGGTAGCAGATGGACAAAAGGGAGTAAGTCAATAGCTCCTTAGAACATAGACAAAACAAAATATATGCACATATAAGCTGGAATTACACAAATCTATGCTGATAAATAAGTAAATATCAGATCATCCATGGAACAGTGCTCCTAATTTCTATGACTGGAGATGAAGGCTGAAGAAAAACAACAGAACAATTCACTGATCTGAAATGTGCTGCCAGGGAAGAGTTCAATGGATACCATAGTCTATCAAAAAGAGAAATAAATGGGCCTGAAAGCAAACTAGTATGAACTCTCACAAAAGTCAAAGTTATATGCATGCTAGACATATTGCATTTTGGACAAAACTCATTGGAACAGATTATAATGATCAGTAAAGTGGAAAGCAAAAGGGAAAAGTGAACTAAAGATGGATAAAAGAAGACACAGCCCTAAGTTCACAAGACCTGAGTAGGATAATTGATGACTGGGACTCAGAATGGACCTTGGGGTTGTCTTAAGACGAAGTCCATTTGACAAACAATAAGAAATAATGATGACGGTAGAATTCTGGCTAATGTCTAGAAAGATCTCTCTCTCAAACATGAGATACACGAAGCTGCCTCAATACCTAAGCACTGGTTTTGTTGAAATCAATACTATCTACACCAGGTGTGACACTGATATTGCGATTTCTCATCATTGACTTTGCTGTCTAGGACTGTAGAGACTCACTGTCAAATAACAACTGGGCAGGTCATAAGATCTGAATTTCTGACCTATATTGCTCAATAAAGATTTCCATTCAGTTTTTCCCTCATGTTCCAAAAGGCAGGTTCATTACAGATTAAAAATTACTGCCCTAAGTCCAATGGACAGGAAATACTGCATGGATTCTGAACTCCAATTTGTATCATCCCTGCCAGGGTCAAAGAACAACTGGAGGGCCAGGGTTCTCCATCCCCTACCCCAGAATAGTAAGTAGAGTATGGTTTTCTCTCTTACCTCAGTCTCCTCCATCTGCCGGTACCTAAACAAGTTCAGGTTAAGGAAATATCTTCTCATTTTCATTTTAGACACCACATGAGCCAGCAAGTCAGGACTCCTTCACATTATTGGTGAGGGAAGTATAAAATGGTGGTGAAAATGTATCACGGAAACACATCACAAGCTCCCTAGAAAGACAGGTTATAAAAGTTTGATGAAGCTGAAATGTTGCAACTATGCCCCATATGGAGATGTCATCGTCTGGAATCAGGATATTTGAAGGACTATCCCATCCCAGCTGGCCTTGTCTAGTCATGGTGTTTAGCAACCAAGGCTTTGCTGTATCTCCCATTAGTTTTAGAAACCCAACTAGATAAAATATTTGTCATTTTATATTGTGTCACCCAGCTTAGTGTGCCCCCTTTTCTTATGTCTCTCCTTAAATCTAAAATATTTCAAAAAGATGGATCCAATTTGAAATGACTACATCTCTACAACCACCTATGAATGAAACCCTTCCCACTTGAAAGGGTGGGGCAGAGTTTCAAATGATTACTGCTAGATGCCTCTCCCAGCACACAAACAGCCCCTGGCCTCAGTCATTTGCAAGATGGCAACCCCGCAACAAAAGGCCAAATGAAATATTCTCCATTTGTGAGGTTATTTTTTAGATTTGTTTCTGGCTCAAAACAGTTAGTAAAACGTGATAACTTGATAACTCATTTTAGTAACTTTTTTTGTGTAATTGTAACATGCTGCCATGGTGGAATATACTGCCTTGAAACTGAGTCCATCAGTTTATTTCATCAAGAACTTGTATTAATTTAAAATTAGAACACAGAACAGCTCAATCTTGCTCAACAAAACTTATTTTTGTAATCTGCGTCATTGTGTACACATGTGTCATGACTGTTTTTTAAAAGGTTTATCAATAAGGAGAAGCAACTTCTTTGGTAAACAGCACTGAAGGACATGTCATTTCTTGAACTTTTGTTTGCCACATCATTGCTGGAGGAAGAGAGAAAGTAGCTCTTTGAAGTAAAAGCTCTGGAACTTTTCAATGCACCCCCCCCCCCCCCCCGATGAGAAAGGATACCACAACAAATTTCCTCGGATCTTCTTTACATTTCTGCAACATAAGGAAGGGGAGAAGGAGAATGATACACCAAATGGGAGCAAGACAGAGATTGATAATGATAAACTAAAATCCAACCCAAGTTCTCCCCTTCAGATTTTTACCTCTGGTGATGCACATGGCGAATGACGTGTTTCCAGATCTCAGCACACTGACCTGAACACATCCTGGAGGAAAAGGGACCGACTAAGTGTTAGACCAGCAGTTCCCAAACTCTAGCCCTCCAAGGGTTTTAGATTTGAATTCTCAGAAGCCTTCTTTGCCTTGGGCTCCTGGAGCAGAAGTCCAAAGCACCTGGAAGGCCAGAGTTTGGAAAGCACTGTGGTAGACTAAAGAGTAAAGGTCTTTTTGGAGACCTTTCCAGAAGGGGACTAGAAAAGAGAGGATGAAGAAAATAAGCAATGAACACATTTACAACAGGAACAAGTGACCTAAAACACTGAATATTCACTACTCACCAAGTAAGACAAAATGTTATGCGCTATGCAGTTTTCACTCTTCTTGCTACACTATCAATTTCCTTCTCGCCACCCCTTTTTGTCCCTGTAGAGAAGGGGTCCTCAAACTAAGGCCCGAGGGCCGAATACGGCCCTCCAAGGTCATTTACCCAGCCCTCGCGCAGGGTCAACCTAAGTCTGAAACTATTTGAAAGCAAACAACAACAACAATCCTATCTCATCAGCCAAAAGCAGGCCCACACTTCCCATTGAAATACTAATAAATTTATATTTGTTAAAATTGTTCTTCATTTTAATTTTTGTATTATTTTAAAATATTTTTGCACTACAAATAAGATCTGTGCAGTGTGCATAGGAATTCATTCATGCTTTTTTCAAATTATAATCCGGCCCTCCAACAGTTTGAGGGACTGTGACCTGGCCCTCTGTTTAAAGTTTGAGGACCTCTGCTATAGAGTCAGCCCTCCACGTTCACTGAGGGTTAGCGGTGCAAGACCCAGGTGAAAGTGAAAAAAGTGAAAAAGTACTATTTTAAATTGTTTCTTGTCTATTTGTATGATATAAATCTCAAGAAATATAAATCTTTAAAAAAAATACTTTTTTAACTGAGAGAATTTTTTAAAGAATTTCTAGGTCATTTAGCATAACTTTATTGACATCTTCCAATCAAGCTGACCATAGAATGGCACAGATTCCTGAAGAGAACAATGTATTTGGTGAATAATCAAAATCACAAATGTGGAAGAGTGACTGTAATGTCTGTAACAGATTATCTAGGCTGGGAATATCAGGTTTTGGATAACATATGAATTGTCTTCCCCAGGTTTTCAATTGTGTGTCTGGGAAAACTGGAATCCTTTGTTGGGAGGTATTAGCTGGCTCTAATAGTTTCCTGTGTGGATTTCCCCTACTTTTTAGTGTTGTTCTTTATTTGCTGTTCTGATTTTAGAGTTTTTTTTAAATACTAGACACCAGATTTTGTTCATTTTCATGCTTTCCTCCTTTCTGTTTAAATTCTAGATCAGGGGTCCTCAAACTAAGGCCCAGGGGCTGGATACGGCCCTCCAAGGTCATTTACCCGGCCCTCGCTCAGGGTCAACCTAAGTCTGAAATTACTTGAAAGCACACAACAACAACAACAACAACAACAACAAACAATCCTATCTCATCAGTCAAAAGTAGGCCCACACTTCCCATTGAAATACTAATAAGTTTATATTTGTTAAAATTGTTCTTCATTTTAATTATTGTATTGTTTTTATGTGGTTTTTGCACGACAAATAAGACATGTGCAGTGTGCACAGGGATTCATTCATGTTTTTTTCAAATTATAATCCGGCCCTACAACAGTTTGAGGGACTGTGACCTGGCCCTATGTTTAAAAAGTTTAGGGACCCCTGGTCTACATGCTTGTGGATTTCAATGCTTCTCTGTGTAGTCTGACATGGTGGTTGTTGTGGTCTCATAAAGGATTCCCCCAGGCAGGAAGCAGGCAGTCCTTGAAGCTGCAAGGCATTCAATGCTAATCAAGTGTCAATTGCAACATTCACACTTGCCTCAAGCAGACAAGAGTTCTTTCTCCCACCCTGGATATTCAACAGATATATACACCCAATTTATATCTTGCTACCTCTGAGGATGCCTGCCATAGATGTGGAGGAAACCTCAGGAGAGAATGCTTCTGGAACATGGTCATACACCCCGGAAAACTCACTGCTATCCACTAAATGTCTTATAATCATGTAGGAGTGGACTGAGTTGCAATTATTGACAATTCACATTGTATTGTCGAAGGCTTTCGTGGCCAGAATCACTGGGTTGTTGTGAGTTTTCCTGGGCTATATGCTGACTTTGGCCTGTAAAGATCTTAATGGTTCTGTCCCAGTTTACCTATCCAAATGTATCTCCTGCTACAAACCACCTAAGACCTTAAGATCATCCAGGGAGGCTCTGCTTGCTGTCCCCCCACCATCACAATTTGCAGTTGGTGGGGACAAGAGACAGGGCCTTCTCCATGGTGGCCCCTCGGCTATGGAATTCCCTCCCAAGTGAAATCAGATTTGCTCCATCCCTCCTGACTTTCAGGGAAAAAGTGAAATCCCGGCTGTGGGATCAGATATTTGCGGACTAGACGGACTTGATGGCAAAGCTATGGTTTTAATGGACTCTGACGGACACCTTTTGAGACGACTTAAATTGGGGATTGTTTTAATGTTTTTATGTTTTATACTGTTTTTACTTAATATGTATATCTATGTTTGTTGTTAGCTGCCCTGAGACCAGGCCTGTAGCGAAGGGGGGGGGGGGGTTAGGGGTTCAACCCCCCCCCCAATTTTTCAGGTTAAAAAAAACTGGTTTACTCATGAATTTTAACTGGTTAACCAAATCTCCATGCTAAGTCTATGAGATGCAAAAAATTAAGAGTCCCTCCAGAACTGCAAGCACTATCTCAAGCAAATATTGACAATTTATTCACACTGTCATTACTTGCAGCAATAGCTGATGTAGTGAAGCAACCAAGTTGGGGGGGGGGGGTGTTGAATGCTCTCATTAAGGAGGCCAGACTTGGTGGAGGTGGTTGACAGGGGCGGAGCTGCAGGCTATTGAAGGCTGCTCTGCCCCCTGCTGTGCTCTTTGCTTCAGCATGAGCTAAGAGGCAGGTTTCAAACCCCCCCCCCTCAAAATTTTCAACCCCCCCCCCCGAATTTTTTTTCTGGCTACGGCCCTGCCTGAGACCCTCTGTGGTGGTTGAGATAGCACGGGATATACATGACCTAAATAAATCTATATAAATAAAAATGTAATGTTCGTTTGTGGGATTAACATAACTCAAAAACCAATTGCCGCCAAATTTGGCCACAAGACACCTACTAACCCAATGAGTGACCATCACTCAAAAACCTGATTTTGTCATTTGGGAGTTGCAGTTGCTGGGATTTATAGTTTACTACAAAGAGCATTCTGAACTCCACCAACAATGGAATTGAACCAAACTTGGCACACAGAACTCCCGTGACCAACAGAAAATACTGGAAGGGTTTGGTGGGCATTGACCTTGAGTTTTGGAGTTGTAGTTCACCTACATCCAGAGAGCACTGTGGACTCAAACAATGATGGATCTGGACCAAACTTGGCACAAACACTCAATATGCCCAAATATGAACACAGATGGAGTTTGGAGGAAATAGACATTTGGCATTGTAGTTACTGGGATTCACTGTTCACCTACAATCAAAGAGCATTCTGAACCCCACCAACGACAGAATTGGGGCAAACTTCCACACAGAACCCCCATGACCAACAGAAAATACTTAAGGCCATCCAGTCCAACTCCCTTCACCAGGGCAAGAAAATGTAATCAAAGCCCTCCTGACAAAGAGCCATCCAGCCATAGATATAGATAGATATATATGATTCACACACAGATATAGTATCATAGATTTGAAAGGGACCCCTAAAGAAGGACAATTATATGTTGCATGTTCCAGAGTAGGCAAACCAGACACTCCCCACAGAATTGGGGCCAACTTCCCACACAGAACCCCCATGACCAACAGAAAATACTGTATTATCTGGTGGTCTTTGGTGACCCTTCTGACACCACCCTTCCCAGGTTGAGAAATGCTGCCTTAAGGCCATCCAGTCCAACTCCCTTCACCAGGGCAAGAAAACATAATCAAAGCCCTCTGACAAAGGGCCATCCAGCCATTCACACACACATGTATATGACAGATATAGTATCATAGATTTAAAAGGGACCTCTAAAGAAGGAAAATTATATGTTGCATGTTCCAGAGTAGGCAAACCAGAAAATCTCTACATCAACATTGACAAAGAAACAACAAGAAATACTGTTTACCCACAAGCATAAAGATACATATATTAGAAACCAACACTTTCTCATTACTTTATTTTCCAGATCACCAGACTGTGCCACAGCAACGCGGGGCAGGGGACGGCTGGTAAATAAATATGGCCATGTTCTAGAAGCATTCTCTCCTGACGTTTCACCTGCATCTATGACAGTCATCCTCAGAGGTTGGGAGACCTCACAGGCTGAGTGGGGGGGGGGAGGAAGGGGCGTGAGGCTGTTAGGAATGGTGGGAGTTGAAGTCCAAAACCCCTGGAGGGAAGGCCCAAGTTGCCCAGGCCTGCTCTAGAGTGCCTCTGCGCCAAGGGAAAGCGCCGTGGGCCACTCACCGCCGGAGGGCACTCTCTGGGGGTATCTTCCCCGGCGGGAGCCTCATCTCCTCGGCCGCCCAGCGCCTCAGCTCCTGGGGCAGCGGCAAAGGCGGCTGCCCTCCGGCCTCCATACTCGCCCTTCCGCCCTCAACTGCCGCCCTCACGGGAAGCATTTCGAACGGCGGCGCCCTCTGCAGGAAGCCCCGCCCACCCGCCTTGGCCGCGCGGCGCGATTGGACACGGGGCCTCGCGGCGGCGCGCAAGGCACGCTGGGAAATCGAATGTTGGCCACAAGCTCTCGCTTCCGGGTAGGCCTCGCGCCTGAGGTGGCGTGAGGGCGGCGTTTCCCGTCAGTCTCGCAAAGATTAGGTCGGTTTGGGAGAAAAGCAAGGGAGTCGAGTGAGGCCTTGAGAGTACAGGCAGCCCCCGAGTCACAGTCATGCGACATTCGAGGGACTCACAGTTAAGAACGAGGGTGAGTCAACAGGAAGTGGGAGAAATATCCCCCTCAGGAGATTCCATCTGAACATGAGGAAGCAATCATAATATTGGAACAAGGTGTATATAGGTAAGACTTTTATTAATAATAACACTTTATTTGTACCCCGCTACCATCTCCCCAAGGGACTCAGTGCTGCTTACATGAGGCCGAGCCCAAACACAACAATACAAGCAATAATCACAACAATGTTGTTGTTCATTCGTTCAGTCGTCTCCGACTCTTCGTGACCTCATGGACCAGCCCACGCCAGAGCTCCCTGTCGGCCGTCACCACCCCCAGCTCCTTCAAGGGCAGTCCAGTCACTTCAAGGATGCCATCCATCCATCTTGCCCTTGGTCGGCCCCTCTTCCTTTTGCCTTCCACTTTCCCCAGCATCATTGTCTTCTCTAGGCTTTGCTGTCTCCTCATGATGTGGCCAAAGTACTTCAACTTTGTCTCTAGTATCTTTCCCCCCAGTGAGCAGTCGGGCTTTATTTCCTGGAGGATGGACTGGTTGGATCTTCTCGCAGTCCAAGGCACTCTCAGAACTTTCCTCCAACACCACAGCTCAAAAGCATCGATCTTCCTTCGCTCAGCCTTCCCTAAGGTCCAGCTCTCACATCCGTAGTTTACTACAGGGAATACCATGGCTTTGACTAGGCGGATCTTTGTTGCCAGTCTGATGTCTCTACTCTTTACTATTTTATCGAGACTGGACATTGCTCTCCTCCCAAGAAGTAAGCGTCTTCTGATTTCCTGGCCACAGTCTGCATCTGCAGTAATCTTTGCGCCTAGAAATACAAAGTCTGTCACGGCCTCCACATTTTCTCCCTCTATTTTCCAGTTGTCAATCATTCTTGTTGCCATAATCTTGGTTATTTTGATGTTTAGCTGCAACCCGGCTTTTACGCTTTTTTCTTTCACCTTGATTAGAAGGCTCCTCAGCTCCTCCTCGCTTTCGGCCATCAGAGTGGTGTCATCTGCATATCTGAGGTCGTTAATGTTTCTTCCAGCAATTTTCACCCCAGTTTTGCATTCATCCAGCCCCGCACATCGCATGATCCTGCAGATCCTCATAGAACTGATCTACTTCTGCTTCTTCAGCAGCTGTGGTTGGGGCGTATATTTGGAATCACAACAATACAAGCAATTAAAATAAAACATAGACGATAAACATATAACATTATCAATAAAACATCATATTATTATTATTATTATTATTATTATTATTATTATTATTAAACTTTATTTGTACCCCGCTAGCATCTCCCGAAGGACTCGATGCGGCTTACAAAGGCCAAGGCCTCAATACACAACATAACAATACACTTAAAGCAAATTAAAACAATTAAAGCAGTATTAAAACAACAAAACCACAAGCAATAAACAATACATCAAACAAGATAAAACTGGGCCGGGCCAGAGTAAAGGGTACAGGATTAAAAAGTGCTGATGTGACAGGTGATATGTAAGGATTATAGGGTAAGTGCAGTGTGCAGTGTGCGGCAATCTCAATTCTAATAAAGTGCTTTTGGGACTTGGTATTGGAGATTTCCTATTCTGGAACAGCCACATCTTCAAGTTCTTTCTAAAGACTGCCAATGTAGGGGCCTGTCTAAGATCTTCGGGGAGAGTGTTCCAGAGACGGGGGCCACCACGGGAAAGGCCCTGTCTCGTTTCCCCACCAAATGTGCTTGCGACGCAGTAAAAATTAAAATTGGAAATAGTGCTGAGGCCTGGACGAAAAGGTGATAGTGGCGTTTGTGGAAGACATACGAGCAGACCTAAAAATATAAAGTGCTTTGGAGGGACAAAGTGCTATGGGATCATTATTCCGGGAAGGCACACTGGAACAACCACGTCTTCAAGCTCCTCCTAAAGACTGCCAGGGTTGGGGCCTGCCTGATGTCTTTAGGGAGTGAGTTCCAGAGTCGAGGGGCCACCACCGAAAAGGCCCTCTCTCTCGTCCCCACCAATCGCGCCTGCGATGCTGGTGGGATCGAGAGCAGGGCCTCTCCAGATGAACGAAGAGATCGTGTGGGTTCGTATACAGAGATGCGGTCACGCAGGTAGGCGGGTCCCAAACCGTTCAGGGCTTTGAAGGTAAGAACCTGCCTTTCTCCCACCCTGGACATTCCACGGATATATAAACCTCACTTGCCAAGTTTCCAATAGACCTCACAACCTCAGAGGATGCCGGTCATAGATGTGGGCAAAACATCAGGAACATCTTCTGGAACATGGCCGTACAGTCTGGGAAAATCACAGCATAACAAGCCATTGTTTTCAAAATCCAATTCTCATGGGCAGCAATAGAGGGGGCTCTTCTGAGAGGGGCTAAAACTTCAATTTGGCTGCAGTTTCGCATCAAAAATTGTTTTGGTGAGTTTTGGGAGAGGGTGGACCATGGTCAATGGGAATTGCAGTACCTTCACTCACTTCCAGAGACCACTGCAATTTCACGAATGATGCACCTGGACCAAACTTGGCATCCATGGCGCACTTTACATCCTGGCAGTGTTTGGGGGAGGATACATCATGGATGATGGGATTTACAGTACCTTCATCCACTTCCAGAGAAACTGACCCTCACCAACAATTAACCTAGACCAAACTTTGCACAGAGAACCCCCATGATGAGGTTTAGGGGAGAATGAACTATGGATGATGGGGTTTACAGTACATTCACCTACCTCCAAAGAGTACTGTGACCCCCACGGATGACGTACCTGTACCAAATCCGAGACACAGTCCTTGCATGACGCACCTTATATCCTGGTGAGATTTGGGGGAAGGATTGTCCATAGGCGATGGGATTTGCTGTACCTTCATTAGCCATGGATCTGCACCAATTTCTAATGGGTCCATTCATGACATCCAAAAACAAACTAGGCCTTTTTCAAAAGACCCAGGCATCACCGGGTATCCAAGCTAGTTTATAATAAAGGGCAGAGGTTTAGAGTTATTTTATTATTGTCGAAGGCTTATTTTAAAAGGCTATTTTATTATTGTTGTTTATCTAGTGCAGGGCTTCTTAAACCCTTTCCACTCAATTTGAATTGTTTTCCAACCAAATATTTGCTGAAAATACATCAGTATTTACTAGGCTTGGTTAACCAGCTGATTTTCTGTTTTGTGGAGTACAGCTGAAGCATCTTCAAGTTGTTGCTATCAGATTCGTGTAAATGTCTAGGTGACCTTCAGAAATCTTTCACTCTTGCCAAATTTTTGTGACCCCAGCATTGAGCAAAGGGGATCCCAGTTTTGGAAACAGTGGTCTAGCTCTTGTGGAGATCTGTCAGTAGATCCAGGTCTAGCTTCTGTAATGTAAAGAAATTTTATACCATACTATACATGCTAATTCTTAAGGTGCCACATATAATAGGTTCATTGTTTTTCACCAGTTGCTTAATAATAGATTCTTTTGTGACAGGGTAAAACAAGGAAATTCTTGGAATGTGGGCAGAGCAGCTGGGTTTACAAGGCAGCCATAATAAGGTGACACAGAGCCACTTCTGTTTTAGCCATATCTGGCATTTTTCATGCCCTCCAACTTTTCACAGATGAAAACTGGGACACATGTGGCCAAGCAACATCAGGGTGTGGTCAAGATGGCAAAAGTTATACATGAGGAAGAACACAGAAACCAGGAGAAGCTGCAACAGTAGGTTTTTGTGTGAGCCTACTGGAAAGGGCAAGATTCCTCCCTTCTCGTCCCTAACTGAGAGCAAATTACTTCTGCATTTTGAACTAAGTTTGCAGCAACTTAAGTGAACTAAGGGCCATTCCACCCAGCCATATAACCCAGAATATCAAGGCAGATAATCCACAATATCTGCTTGAACTAGATTATCTGAGGCCATATAACCCAGTTCAGTGTGGATTTTATACAGCTGTGTGGAAGGGGCCTAAAAGCAACGGTGGAATGTGGAAGGAAGAGAGGGAAACCGGACACTATTAAACAGCAAGAAGGAGAGAATGAAAGAGGCTTAATTGGAACTCTTCCTGCCAAATCAGGACAGTTGGAGGGCATAATTTCCTGCTCTCCTTTTACTATCTGAACTTATTATATATTTTGATTTCTCCACCTTCCTGTAGAAAAGTATTCTATGTTAGCATTTGCTGGAAGAATTCTATACTGGGACTAGATTTCATTATGTGAGAAAATTTGTTTATGTTTCCCTTCAATTGGTTTTCATGATAGAATTTGTTCTGAGGGGGGTTGCCTTTGCCTTCTGTGGTTTGGTGAGGCCCCAGCATTCTTTGACAGAAAAGGCTAAAGACCTTCTAGAACGACAACTCCCATTGCATTGAGCCATGACAGTGAAAATGGTGTCAAACTGCATCAGTGACACAGTGTAGATGCACCCACAATTACTTCTGATGTCACTTGGCTGCACATTTTCATCTGTGAAACACTGGATGGTGCGAAAGGAGCCAAGATACTTTGTGGATTTGTAAAAGACTTGTTTATTTCTTTCAGAATACAAAGTCAGATGGGTTAAAGTCATTAAACACTTGCTGTATGGTGGGACCAGAGATGTACAAAAAGCCCAGCATTTTGCTATATTAATATTTCCAACCTGATAGGTGGCCTAGTCTTGACTTCATCAGCTTGGCTGGACTGCCCATAGAGATCACCACAAGGATTTATATCTACCTGATATTCATTCACACACAGGAACATCCTACCCCCATGCACATGCACACGTTAGGAAAAAGGTACATAAAGA